AAAAAAAAAAAAAAAAAAAGAAAGAAAGAAAGAAAGAAAAAAAAGAACAGTACAAAGAGTATTTCTCTTTCAAATACTCCCTTCTTTTCCAGAGTAGCTGTCTACCATCTCACTCTTCCCCCTTGTCCCCCACCTTCAGACAGTCTTCTTATACAAAGAGAGAGAGAGGGGGGTACAAAATGCATCAATAGGGTGGGGGGATAGCTCAGCTGCACAAGCACCTGCCTGGCAAGAACAAGGTCCTGAGTTCAATTCCCTTTACCAAAAAAAGAAAATTCATCAATAGACTGACAAAATGAAAATTTAAGCCATGTATGATGGCACATGCCTGTAATCCAGGCACTCAGGAGGCTGAGGCAGGAGGATCATTGCGAGTTTGAGGCCAGCCTGGGCTACAAAGTGAGCTCAAGGCAAGCCTGAACTGCATAGTGAGACCCTGTCTCAAAAAGTCAAAAAACGAAAGAAAGAAAAAAAAAAATCTATAAAAATGCCAACACTCTGGCAACGGTCCAATATCTATTGCAACCATATTTCCAACCCCTAAATCACGATATGTAATCTAACCAAGAGCTATTTTGATAGCGAGAAGCAATCTGAAAAGTTTAGACAACGAAATACCAAAATTTCTAGGAAACTAAACAGAACACTTGAAATGCAGGCTCATCCATTGACTAAGGACTAATGCTCCATCACAGCAGTAGGGATGCTGCAGAGAGTGCCAGGTGTTTTCTCCACCACAGTTCGGGGGTACATGAACAAGGATCTGAAGAGGCCAGGGACCAAGTCACAAAAGTATCGAAGAACGAACAAAAAGTACCCTGTGTCATTTAAAAATCCAAGCAACTGAATGGCAAAGTTAGCAAAGCAGAAAATTTTGATTCCCGGTTAAAAGGCTTTCTCTAGTTCTCTCTCAAATGCAGAACTGCAACATCGACCAAATACCAGACACCAATATAACAGACACCACACTGACATGAACATCATAAGCCTTGCTTTTAGGGCTCCGACAAAACCTTGCAATGGCAGAGCATTTGGACTGGATTTTAGCTCCCTAATCCGTGGGAAAAAGGAATTACAAAGTCCGATCTTCTCTACCTCACAAGGCTGAAGGCCGTGGCTATAGCGTTCCCAACGATCCCAAGGTGAAAGGCTGCAGCCCTGGCTAGAATAGTACAATCCTGACCACAGAACACCACCATAACACAGCAATCCTCCCTACCTGTTGCTAGGACGAGAGCTGGTTGAATGATGTCAATAGTTTCAGAACAGAACTTCTCTAAGTCTATGGCTCTGCTTGGTTCGCGAAACCTGCTCAGGTGAATGTCGGATATCTGCCAAAAGCCGGTAATGAACAGGGATAAACGAGTCAGGCAGAGGCAGCACGGGCAGTGGCCGCCCAGCGGCTGTCCTTCGGAAGGAAAAGGCAGAGACACAGCGCCTTAAGGAATCCCACCCCTGCCCAGGGAAGTTCCGCGCCACGGCCAGACGAGGCTGACCCAAAACTTACGAGCTGACCCCGACCCCGCACAGGCGCAGGGGCCGGAGCCGCCAGAATCCCGCTCCGCGCTGTACCCCTGCACCCACCGCCCGCCCGGCGCCCGCGCATCACCTGCAGGCCCCAGAAGATGTTGCTGTTTCCGGGGCCAGGCGCGGGGTGAGGCCGCTGGCGGTGGGGGCGCTGGGGCAGCGGCGAGGGCGGATCCGCCAAGCCATAATACTCCAAGAGCAAAGCCGCCAGCGCCGCGGCCACCAGCCCCGCGACCACCCTCAGAGCCAGCATGATCGCCATCCCGCCGGTCCGGCACGGAGTGCGAGGCGCTCCTGGGGCCGCTCTGTCCGCACTTTTGTACTCTATGGTGCCGCGGCCCCGGCTGGACGGCGGCCTCGAGGTGCCGTTCTTGTCCCCTTCGCCTGCGTCTTCCCTTCTGTGGCCGCTGGTATCCCTGGGCTCGTTTTGCAGATGTAATACAGAAGAAAAGGGTACTGAGACTGTCAAGCACTGCGATAGTAGTCGAGAGGTGGCCGGCAAGACGCGCCAGACCTGCCGCTGGGAGGCGGAGACTAGAGGCTTGGCCCCGCCGAGGTCAAAGGTTTCAGACCTCGGTGGTTCGATCGCTGCCTATAAACCGGAGCTGGTGGCCTCCCGTGCATACCGGGCAGGCTTGGTGTGAGAATCAGAGTATGTACGAGGATGCATCTTAAACTGCTGTACAAATGTGACAGGTGCTTTCTCTGGCCCCTTCTGATTATTAATATGACTTTACAGGCCTGCCATAGGTACAGCTGGTATGTCTTGTGACATTTCTTCTTTGCCTGATTTCGTATGTACTTGATTACATAATATTACAACGCAGCGGTATGATTTTCAGTTAATATATATTAAATCCTTGCCATAAGCCACTCACAGGAGAGATTTGGGTCTAGCCTAAATTTATCCAACCACTTCCTTACAGTTGAGGTTTTGTATGTTTACTATGTGATGCTGTTCTGAATAAATGTTTTTCTACAAATAACATTTTTTCAAAAAAAACTCCTTTGAGTTATTTCCATGGAGTACATTGCCTGTACACTGCCAATTTCAACTAAGTACTTTCTGAGTACTTTTGGAATGCTAGAGATTGATCTAAGCAGAGAAACATAAAAACCCTAAGTAGATAAAGAACTATGGTTCATTAGCTTATATAGGAGACAGAAACATACAAGTTCAACATAATAAGAATGTTATTTACCACAAGAGACTGCCAGATATAAAAGACCAGGAGAAGGTTAAAACAGGGAGATCATATCTGTGGAAAAAATCAAGAAATGTTTAAGGAAGTGGCATATAAAGGAAGAGCAGTGTTCTGATTGGAATTACAAGGAAAAAAGCCCCTTCTACCAAGACCTAACAACATGAACCAAAGCATAAAGGTGAGAAGATGCAGGTCATGTTGAGGAAATTGCTTCAGTTTGCTTGGGCCTGGGTCATGCTAGGCAAATGAACGCTAATTAGACCAGACCTTAAGCCACATGAAAGGCCTCTATAAATGCCAGCAGTGAAGATGACAAGGCTCTGCTTTGACAAGATGGCTCTGGCAAGGACAGTGAAGAGGTGTGACAGAAACTCCTGTTGGAAGGAGATTACAATAATGCAAGCAGTAGGTGATTATAAAGACCCTAGGAGGAACACGGCAGAGTGTGACACTAAGATCAGAAGAAAGGATCAGATATAAAACTAGCTGGGCGTGATGGCACATATTTGTAATCACAGCTATTTGGGAGGCTGAAGCAAGAGGATCAAAGGTTCCAGCCCATCCTAGGCAATTTAGAAAGATTCTTCTGTTAGAATATTAAGAGCTGGGACTGTATAGTTCAGTGGTAGAATGCTTGTGCAGTTTGCATGATGTTCCCAGTACCCTGCAAATTAATAAATTGCCAAATTTCAGAGCTCTAGTGACCAAGGGACCAGGGCTATAATATATGTATGTGTGGAAAGTGCTGCCTGTATCAGATAAAATTTTGGTTGTGACTGATACTGCACCATTAGAAAACACCTGGGTGGATACTTTAAAGCCAAATTTGGAAGATAGGACTGAGTTGATATGATTTAAAGCAGGCAATATGACATGTGTAAAATACATCTGGAAAAGCCTTTGGGAACCTTAAAGATATAGGAAATCACTTAACAGAAATGAGGTACATCAAGAGGCTGAATGTTATGACCCATATCTAGATGTCCCCCCAAAGCCTCAGGCAATCAAAGGTGGGGCTTTTTGTTTTGTTTTGTTTTATTTTTTGGTTTTTCTCCGGTACCGGGAACCGAACTCACGACCTTGCGCTTGCCAGGCAGGCGCTTTTGCCGCTGAGCTAAATCCCCAGCCCCCAAAGGTGGGGCTTTTTGGAGGTGGCTGGAACTAGGGTGTGTGATGCTGAGTTTAATAGTGCCCCACTCTGGGTATGGACAGCACCAGTTTGTCTTACAGCTTGCAAAGAATATAAAGGGACAGAAAAAAGGCTCCTATTACTGTTTTTCTGTTTGCTGCTTGTCTGCTGCTGCCTCCTACCTATCCTGCGATGCCCCTGTGCCATACCATTCTGCCTTGGGGTCAGCCAATTATGGACTGAAACCTCTGCAAACTGTAAGCTAATATAAACCTTCCCTCCTTCAACTTTGGGTGTCAGGTATTTTGTCTCAGCAACAAGTAACCTAGACACTGTATGATAGCAGACAGAAACACACATGCCACTAAAAGAAATGACAGAGAAACATGGTCTAAAGTCACAAAGGCCAACTAAAACACTTCTCTCTCATACCATAGTGATCAAAGTGAGTAAGAATAGGAATTTATTAAATGGTGGTTTGCCAAGGATATAGCTCAGTGGCATAGGCAGAGTGCCTGCCTGGTAAGATATTAAATGATGATTAATGATTCTCCAGGGAAATACTGGTTTGGCCAGCTAATCACTGCAATTTAGTATAAAAGGTAGCTCTCTCCGTGCCTGACAGTCAAAGTAGAAAGGTAATAGATTATTTGTTATCTCATTTAAAAAGTAGGCAGAATTCACCACGAAAACAAATTAGCCTAGAACTAAAGTAGAAGAACAATTTATCACTTGGATAAATTCAATGATACAATGTATATTGCCACATACAGTAGCTATAAATTTGATTGACTCTCATAAACATAGAAATTGTCTTCAAATCACCTTTTCTTTTTGAGACTGGGTCTTGCTATGCAGTTCAGGCTGGCCTTGACTCACTATGTAGCCCAGGCTGGCCTCGAACTTGTGGCAATCCTCCTGCCTCAGCCTCCAGAGTGTTGGGAACATATGTTAGTTGTTGATAATGCTTCAAACAGTAAAATGGCACCAGCAAAGTTACCTTGTAGCTTGTTTACTTATGAATGCTACTGTGAACTGAAAGTAATTTTTAAAATAACCACATCTTTGTATAAGAATCAAAGAAATTCAAAACAAAAAACCCCAAACAAAAAAAGAATCAGAGAAATTCATAACTAGGCCAAGTCACACCTTGTTCTAGATCTTTAAAAAGCAATGTTACTTATGTTTTAATCCGTATGTCTTATGCCTTATACAATGCACAATGATGTTAAAACAAAATGTGGGCTGGGTGTGGTAGCACACATCTGTAATCCCAGGACTTGGGAGGCTGAGGCAGGAGGATCGCCACAAGTTCAAGGCCCACCTGGGCCTACATAATGAGTTCAATGCCAGCCTGAACTACATAGCAGGACCTTGTTTAAGAAAAAATAAAAATAAAAAAAAGTGTGTCAGATACATGGTGAATACTTTTGTTTATTTAACAACAGACATGCCACATTGTAGCAGATAGATGGAAAGATTTTTTTTTTAATAGAATGCAGGAAAGTGAAGTGGTTCAAGGCACAAATTTTAAAGCCAGGCAAATCTGGGTTTTGAATCTAAGTTTTGTTATTTAGTAATGCAGCAAGCAATCTTTTCTCTTTAGACCCAATGGTGATAGTAGGATCTATCCCACAGTATTGTTTTGAATTACACTTTAAAATATATTTAAAAATCCTTACCATGAAAAATTGTACAATAAAGTGTTATAAATAGTAACAGTGCATGGATTAGGAAACTTTCAGTTTCTGATACAGGTTGAGCTTACCTCACAGGAAAATACAAAATTAGAAATACTACAAAATCTGAAACTTTTTCAGCATCAACATGACATTACAAATGGACAATTCCACAGCTTTGAATTTTATTTCAGGCTGGGCGTGGTGGCACACACCTGTAATCCCAGCACTCGGGAGGCTGAGGCAGGAGGATCGTTTCGAGTTTGAGACCAGCCTGGGCTACAAAGTGAGCTCAAGGCCAGCCTGAACAGCATACTGAGACCCTGTCTCAAAAAGACAAAAAATATAGATATAAATTTTATTTCATGCACAAAATGATTCAGTTTAAGTATATAAAGTGTATATGAATTAATTTTGGGTTTAAACTTGACTCTTGTCCTCAAAAAATCTCAGCATATATACAGCACACAAATGTTCCAAGATCTGAAAAATCAAAAGTCCAAAACACTACTGGGTGCCAGGGATATAGCTCAGCTGCACAGTGCTTGCCTGGCAAGCACAAGGTCATGAGTTCAATTCCTGGCCCTCCCATAAAACAGCAACAACAATAAAATACTAGTGGCCCCAAAGATTTTGGATAAGAGATACTCAACCTGTGAGAGAAAACAATTCTAGATGTTTTAAGCAAAACACTACGAAGGGACATTAGAGACTCAGAAACTTAGGAAGCTGGGACAAGCTTGGATACCAAGCAGAAACACAACGGAAAACCAAGAAGCAGGAGGCACAATCATATTTCAGCAATACTCTGAAAGTACATTGCTACCTGAAGATACCAAGCAGGAATGAATTCCAGCCACCTGATTGGAGATACTGTCTCCCAACAAGACTGCCACAAGGTTAAGCCCCTATCCTCCCATCCACAAGTGAAAGTGCCTCTGGACACAGACCAGCCAGAAAAGGGGGAAGAGGCCACCTAGCTGGTACTCAACACTAGTATCAGGCCCTCTATTCCATGAAACCAAACATTAAGGGCTTTAGGTAGAATATCTCATTAATCCTCACAACCATCATAGATGGAAAAATCTCATTACATCCATCTTATTGGTAAGGAAACTAAGTCTCAGAGATTTCTCCTAAATTCATACAACCAGCAAGTGTTTTAAAAAAGACACTGAAATCCAGGAAATTTTATGCCAGAGGTTAGGTACATAGCTAATAGTTCCTCTAAGGGGTGGGGGGTGTCCCTTGAAAACTGGGGATATCATTTAAAAAAAACAAAGTTTTACACAAGTAATAGAGTACATATTGTAGGAAAAATTAGGAAGTACAGTTCAAGTAGAAGGTGGAAAACAAAAAGTCTTACAATTGCGCAATCCAGGGGTAATCAAGACTAATATTTTGGTGATTAGCATTCATTAAACATTTTTTTTGTACTGGGACTCAAAATTCAGGACCTTGCACTTGCCAGGCAGGCACTTCTGCCACTGAGCTATATCCCAGGCCCTCATTAAACATGTAATATAAGAGTAGGTACATTTTTGTCTTAAAAATGATAGTTTTATTAAATTACTTTTTCCGTCCACCGATGTATTCTGTATATTCTTCACCAGTATATTCTCCAGTCAAAAAGAATGATTTTACAACTGTGGTTCTCAAATCTTATGAGGATCATTTTATGCTCTTAAAAATTTTTAGGGACCTCAAATATCTTATGACTATGTGGGTTATATCTGTCATTATTTACTGCATTAGAAATTAAAATAGAAAAAATTTAAATATTTATCAATTTGTTGTAAATAATAAACCCAACATATGTTTATTTTTCTCTTTTTTTTTAAAGACAGGTCTCACTATGTAGTACAGGTTGGCCTTGAACTTCCAGCGATCCTAGGGC